TGGCTGGGCAATGGTGGAAATTATTAAGGGTGGAATTTTTTTTTGATTAATGGTGGAAGTTTTGAATATTTTCCTTACTTCTCCACAAAGATGAAGAGGGGAAGGGCTATGAAAACAAGGTGGCACGAAGTAGGTTTCTGGCTTGCTGCCAAATTTTCCACTTTCCCCACCAGAAAAACATGTTGCTATTGGCTTGACAAAAACCTCAACTTCCTTCTAATTTCCTGAAATGTAAACAGATGACAGATGTACGTATAGCAGGATATACTTCAAATGGGTGGTAGGTACTTTCCTTGTAATAAAATGCTGGTGAAAAATGCCAAAACAAGAAAGTGATAATGATTGCATTTTGTTAGTCTAAAAGTACTAAGCTCTACAGCAAGGGTGGGAATACTTAAAAAACATTGCAAGAGATACTTAAAAGACATAATCTGGGCAGAATCAAAGGTGAAAATAGAAATTTTCCTTTCAGGGTGTCCTAGTCTGGGTTACTCAGACTCTAAGCAAAGGACTTTGGTTCAGTTTATTTGGGCGACAATTCCATGAAGCCGAAGTGAGGAAGTGAAGAAAGTGAGACAGGGAAGGGAGAAAAGCAACGAAGGATGAGTTAATGAAGTGATTTTAACTGAGGGCAAGTGGGGCTCAATTCCACTTAGGATCTAGCAAGGAATATCTAGAACGTATGCACTGAGTGACGGGGAAGCTGGGGTACTTACTAACCAGCCCCCCATTCCTCACCATTTGGGGGTTGCTCTGGGGGCATAAAATCCCCAGCCCTCGTAGACAGTCCTATGCATAGGCTGAGCAAGTTTCTGTGGTGCAGGAAAGCAGAAACAGGGCTTGTGTTGGAAAGCTGTCAGTTTGCACAGGAGCTGTCCACAGGGTTGCAGGTGAACTGGAAGTAGGCTAAGGGATATGTCGTTGGGTGGGACATCTACACAGACATCTCTTACCAGTAATAGTTGTTAGGAAGATACTATTCACAATTGTTCCACATTCATGGATGTTAAATATCAAAGGTAGGCGTGCAGAAATAAGCCCTTACATTTACAGTCGATTGTCAACAAGGACGCCAAAAACAATTGAATGGGGAAAGACTAAACTTCTTTTGTTTTTTTAATCCTCCACCCAAGGACATGCTTAGAAAGAGGAAGGGAGGGAGACGGGAGAGGGAGAGGGAGAGGGAGGAGAGGGGGGAGAGGGGGGAGAGGGGGGAGAGGGGGGAGAGGAGAGAGGAAGAGGTCAACATGAGAAACTGGATCAGCTGCTCCAACCAGTCGCTGAAACTGCAAACCAGGTTTGTGCCCTGTATGGGGAACTGAACTGAACCAACCACCCTTCGGAATATTGGATGCTGCTCAACCAACTGAGCCACTCTGGCGGAAAAGAGTACTCTTTTCAACAAAGTGTACTACTGGATATTCACAGTAAAAGACTGAAGTTGGTCCATTCCCTAGCTTACACCATAAAAAAAAAATTAACTCAAAACGGACAAAAAACCTAAATGTAATACCGAAAACTATAAAACTCTTAGAAGAAAATGTAGAATAGATCTTTGTAATCTTGGATGTGGCAATAGTTTTTAAAATATAACAACAAAAGCAGAAACAAGCAAATTAAAAACAGATAAATTTGGATTTCATCAACATTAAAAATGTGCTTCAAAGGACATTATCAAGAAAATGAAAGACAACCCATTGAATAGCAGGAAATATTTGCAAATTATATATCTGATAGAATGTATATTGGTAAATAAGTTTTGTAACTTAATAATAAAAAGACAAATAACCCAATTGAAAAAATGGGTGAAGGATCTGAGTAGACATGTCTCCAAAGAAGATAAATGTGCAAGTGGCCAATAAGCACACAAAATATGCTCAGCATCATTCATCATGAAGGGAATGCAAATCAAAGTCATAATGAGGTACCACTTCCTATCAACTAGGATGGCTAAAACAAAGACAGTAATGAGCGTTGATAAGGATGTGGAGAAATTAGAACCCTTATACATTATTGGTGGAAATGTAAAATGGTGCAGCCACTTTGGAAAACAGCCTGGCAGCTGCTCAAAAGGTTAAATATACAGCAATTCCAATGACCCAGCAATTTTTTTAGAAATATATTTTATTGGTTTTTTACAGAGAGGAAGGAAGAGGCATAGAGAGTTAGAAACATCGATGAGAGAGAAACATCTATCAGCTGCCTCCTGCACACCCCCTACTGGGGATGTGCCCACAACCAAGGTACATGCCCTTGACCAGAATTGAACCTGGGACCCTTCAGTCCGCAGGCCGACACTCTATCCACTGAGCCAAACCAGCCAGGGCTGACCCAGCAATTTTACTCCTAGATGTATACCCAAGAGAATGAAAAACCCATGTCTACACAAAAACTTGTACACAAATTCTTACAGCAGCATTATTTATAACTAGAGGCCCAATGCATGAAATTCATGCACGGGGGAGGGGGGGACAGGGGGGTGTCCCTCAGCCCGGCCTGCACCCTCTCCAATATGGGATTCCTCTCACAATCTGGGACCAGTGGCTCCTAACCGCTCACCTGCCTGCCTGATTGCCCCTAACCCTCTGCCTGATGGCCTGATTGCCCCTAACTGCCCTCCCCTGCTGGCCTGATCGCCCCTAACCGCCCTCCCCTGCCAGCATGATCGCCCCTAACCGCCTGTCTTGGCCCCTGCCAATGTGGCTTTGTCCAGGAGGACTGGATAACTGGAAGATGTCCGGTCGACCTGGTCTAATTAACATATTACCCTTTTATTAGTATAGATAACTAAAAAGTGGAAACCAAATGTCTATTAACTGATAAGTGGATATGTAAATATGGTATATCCATTCAGTGGAATATTATTCAGCAATAAAAAGGAACAAAGCATTGTGGGCAACAGTGTGGTGATTGCAGGGTTAGGGGAGTAGGTGGAGGTGGAGGAAGGTAAAAGAGGGATAAATGGTGATGGGAAAAAAATAGAGAAAAAAAAGAATGCAGTACTGATAGATGCTTTAACAGGGCTAAACCTTAAAGATATTGGGTTAAGTGGAAGCTAGTCACATAGTGTGACTCCATTTATAAAATGTGTAGAATAGGCAAACCTACATGTAAATTAGATGAATGGTTGCTTAGGACTGGGGGAGGAGTATTGGAGACTGATTACTAAAGGGATTTGGCTTCGTTTTTGGGTGATCATGTAAAATTGACTGTGGTGATGGTTGAAACAACTCTGGATACACTAAAAACCATTAAACTGTACACTTAAATTGGTGACTTTGCATGGCATGTGAGAGAAAATGGATCAGCTGCCCTCCATAACCACTCAATAAACTTGTTACAAAAGTAATCAGGAGCATGGAAGCATATTAATATTCTTTTCTAAAAAGTCTCATGTTTTAGCTATTACACTATCATTAGAATAATACTTTAAGTAAGCACATGCTTTGTCCATTCAGTATGAGTTTCTGCCATCTGCCTGTGACTGTTCTTCAATCAATGGAACCAAGTATGCTTTCACATGCCAATGCTTGCTCCTCTTCTATCATGAGCTTTTTAGACGGTCTCACTTCTCTCAGATAAAAGGGAATGAGCCCTGGCCCATGTGGCTCAGTTGGTTGGAGCATCTTCCCTGTGCACTGAAGGGTTGAAGGTTTGATTCCTGGTCAGGGCACATACCCAGATAGTGTGTACGATCCCCAGTCCAGGCGAGTACGGGATATTTCTCTCCCTCCCTCCTCTCTCTTTAGAATCAATGAAAACATATTCTCAGATGAGGATTAAAAAAACAATAATAAACACAATTTTAGAACACCTTTAGCTTTGCTTTTTCTAAGTCTGGTTGATCTGGAATAACCTTTCACCGATCTTTTAATGAAGAATTAGAACACATCTCATTCCTCACCTGTATAAACCTCCTTGACTTCCCACCACTTTTGAGGAAACATTGAGAATCCCTTCACAGGCTCTAAGGCCACCCGTGGCCTGGACTTGCTACATTCCATCCTGCAGGCTCCTTCCTGCTTTGGGTCCTACCCCACTGTGGTCATTTTCTGGACTGTCCTTCCTGCCACATGGTAGGTGGTTAATAAATATTGACTAAATAAATAAATGTAAATTTTTCATTCCCTAGATATAACACATTTTCAAATATATATATATTTTAAATTGAATTTATTGGGATGACACTGATTTGCAAAACCATACAGGTTTCAATTATATAGCTCAAAAAAACATCTGCACACTGCATCGTGTGCCCATCACCCAAAGCAAGTCTCTTTCTGTACCCATTTATCCCGTTTTCCCACCTCCACCTACCTACACTTCCCTTTCAAGGAAAGACTTAACTGTGAATTCATGGGTGAATTTGGGGGGTGGAGTGGGGTGGGTGGTATCTGTAGGTCTTTTGATATATTTTACAAAATTGTGTACATGGGAACGTCCATTTTTCTAAGAAAGCATCCATAACTTTTGTTCAATTTCCAAAAACATCTATGACCGAAAACATGGTAATGATCTGAGTTAAGGGAATGAGGCTCAGAGAAAGAAAGAAAAAAGGGAGACAAAAGTAAAAAAGTCAGAGGCTGTAATAGCCAGTGTATTATAAATGTATTAGAACGATTGTGACTTTAAATAAGGTAAATTGCCCTTGATGGTCACAAGTACTGAGGACACAGGGATTCCAATGCCTAAAATAAAAACCAGCCAATTACCTGTTTTCTCAATGCTCCCCTCTGTAGTCGTGGCTTATGTGATGGTGATTTTCAATAGTCGGTTCTGCTTTCCACGGGCCTTTAAAAACTATACGCCAGACCCTCCCCCACCCAATTCCAAGATCTGATATGCCTTCTGCCATATCAGGGGTGTGTGAAGTTGAGAATAATTAATCTAAATAATTCACTCAAAAGAATCCATCTAAAATCCCAGTCAGGTTTGTACAAATTAAAATCTAAAGAATGTGGAATGTCCAAATAGCAGTATCTACATAAACCAATAAAATGTTAGTGGCAATTTAATTTTAATATCTCTTCAAAAATTACCCAACTTACAAATTAGTATACATTTGTGTATATTTACACAAACAAATATACATCGTTCTTTCCCCCATCTTAATTCAGCCTCCCATAGGAGGTTCCGGGGCTCCGAGATGACTACCTTAGAGCTGGTGCTCCAAGGAGCCCTGGGTCTTGCTAGTGACGCTGGGTGTGGCTGTGTGCCACAGAGCAGGTCCATTCTGTAGCACCACAGGCCAGGAGCAGCTTCTGTTCTTTTCCAGACGCACAATGCAGATGCCACTTCGGTTGTGTTCATGTATCCAGGTGCTTGTAGAGTCGACGACTTTTCTCTTTTTTATTTCTGTTGCCATGTTTTTTCCAGGGCTTCCCAGCCCCGCTCTCAGAGCTCACAGTAGCTGCAGTCACCAGGCCACTCCCAGGCTTGTAGCCCATCACAGCCTGGACTCCTTTGGTCAAAGCTCTCACATTTTCCTAGCGAATAAGAGGAAATCTTATTCAGGATATCAGCAGTCTCCTTTAGAGGATATGTATAGTGTTATTTATGGAAACTCCAAGATAGTGGGACTTCCATCTCTCACTGGTACTTGCTCCCCGTTACTTAAATGATAAGCTTTCAGCATTCTTCCCTTAGTTCCATCTCTTCAAATATCTATAACTAGAATCATAATACTGGCTTCTTCCCTGGAAAATCTCTATCTTGATATCGAAATTCAACCTGCCTCAATCTAAATTGAGTTAGAAATGGATTCTCCATTCTTTATTTAGTGAGTGGTATAAAGAATCCGCCAGGCTGCCAAGACAGGACACTCTCTTTGTCTTCCTCATCTACCATATGCAGTCAGCTGGCCACTAAGTTCTGTTGCTCCCATCTTTAGAATTTTGTTCGTCTCTCCCCTCCTCTCCATCTATCCCCCACTGCTCTGACCGAGGTGCTGATTAGCTTTCTCTGGCCCACTTACTATAAGACTCTTATAATCCAGCATCCATATTTTTCTTTTTTAAAAAAAGTTCTTTATTGTTTAAAGTATTACATATAGTATTACATATCTCCTTTCTTCCCCACTGGCCACCCCAACCCCCCAGCACATGCCCTCACACCCCCTAGTGTCTGTGTCCATTGGTTATGCTTATATGCATGCATACAAGTCCTTTGGTTGATTTCTTACCCCCTGCCTTCCCTTTGAAGACTGATGGACTGTTTGACAGCATCCACATTTCTACAAGTTCTCTGATCATGTTTCTCTTCCTGTCCTCACAAATCTCTGATGGCTCCTCGTAGCCTGGTGAATCACATTCAGATTCTCGCACAGGGCACATAAGGCCACCTACAACATGGGCTCTTTTAATGATAAACCCCACACTCCTGTATCATTATGCCTTTGTTCACGCTACTCCTTCTGCCTGGAAATCTGGCCCTCACCACTCCTTCCAACTGGCACATTTTTATTTGTCTCTCAAAGTCCAGCTTAAATATCATTTCCTCTGCAGTTCTCATTTTCCCACTTTGCTCTCAGCTCCAAGATAACTGTTCTCCAGTCTGGGTTCAGAGTCTTGACTTATACCCCTGTGCTAGACCTAACATGTCATGTTAATTGTTAACTTGCCTGTCTCCCCTTTGCTAGAATGTGACCCCCCCGAAAGCAATAATTGTGTCTTATTTTGATATCCCAGGTCCTGGTGTAATAGCTGGCACATAGTAAGTGCTCAAAAGAGTTTTTGTAAACTTATGACTTAAGTAAAATAAACAAACAAAAAAAATGTAGGTTTACTTAGTAGAAAAAAATTCAATCCAATATGATTTGCAAGTATAAAGCAGGATTTCATGATCTTAGAATAGTACATTACTCTAGAAACTAAAACTTAGATACCTAATTATATTATAACTAAACTGTAAGTTTTCAGCTTTCTTATTCATGACCTTTAGAAACTTTTTGTAAAACTTAAAACTTTAACTTAAATGTCCTGTGTAACAGTAATAGGCTCAGGAAAGAACTTCTAATCTTCCTGCATATTGGTAACTTTTCTTATAAACACTGGCAGACTTGGAAATAATTCAAACTAGGAGCCACAACAACCAAAGTTCTAGTCCAGCTTTGCCATTTCAAACAAGTGTCTTTAGGTAGCTCACTTAGCCTCCTTAAGCCTCAATGTCTTTAATAGTAAAGTGGGAATAATATACCTGCTTGGTGTGCCTCACCATCACTGTGTGGGGCACAAATAAGGCACCACACAAATACAGAAAAGATCATTCTCTGCATACACCTGACCCCTGCACCCCATTTTTTTTGGTTATAGTAGATACAAGAACATTAATATATATTAGGTACAATTATATGATTTAAATGTTCTGCACATAAATTTGCTCTTTAAAATGTAATATACAATTGTACTTGTGAAGGATACTAGACTTATCGGGTGGCCACTTGTAAGTTATATAAATGTCTAATCACTATGCTGCATACCTAAAATTAACGTATTATGTATGTCAACTATAATTGAAAAACTTTTTTAAATTTTAAAAATTGTACCTGTGATATAAACTTGTGATTAAAATATGTTGGTTTAGAGAAAAGACAATCTACTAAATGGGAGAAAAATTTGCAGATCTACATATATTCTATATGTATAAAACTCTAATATGCAAATAGACCGACTGACGGAACAACTGAACAACCAGTCGATATGATGTGCGCTGACCACCAGGGGGTGCGCACAGAACATGCCAGGTGTTGGCGGAGCAGGGGAGTGGGGCCACTAGACCAAGGCGTGGTGCTGGTTGCTGTCGAGACAAGCCTCTGACCAAGGCGGGGTGCTGGTCGCTGTCGAGACAAGCCTCTGGTGATTACAGAAAATGTTTTGCTCCCGTGTGCCCCGATTGCCCCTCAGGGGTGATCGGGGCAGCAACTGCTGCTCACACCCACTGCTGGCGCCGGCCCCCATCACTCTGTGCCATCAGCAGGTGCAAGCAGGGCCAGCGCTGTCAGCTCGTGGGAGCAGCAGTAGGACTGCCAGCAGACAGGGGACCGGGGGCCACGGTGGGAGGGGCTGGGTAGGGGCTCAGAGGATGGGCTGAGACCCACCGCTGTGCTCACTGCAGCCTTGTGGCACACAGTTCCTTTCAAGGTGCACGAATTTGTGCACTGGGCCCCTAGTAAGTAGGATAAAGGTTCATATCCAGACTATACAAAGAACTCTTACAACTCAACAACAATAGAGAATCCTCCAGAGAAGAGATATATATGTGTGCCAATGAGCACATGAAAAGATGCTCATACAACTAGTCATTGGGGGAAGTACAAATCAAAATCATGAGGTACCAATTCACACATAGCAAGATGGCTAATATAAAAAAGACAGAAAGTAACTACTGGAAAGGATGTGGAGAAATTGGAACTCTCATACATGCTGGTGAGAATGTAATATGGTGCAGCCACTGTGGGAAGTTAATGTGGAGTTACCATGTGACCCATCAATCCCACTCCTAAAAATATAACCAAGAGAACAGTAAATATATGTCCACACAAAACTTGCCCATGAATGTTCACAGCAGCATTATTCATAATAGACAAAAAATGGAAACAACCCAGATGTCCATCAACTGATAAATGAACAAACAAAATGTGGTCTATCCTTTCAATGAAATATTATTTGGCAATAAAAAGGAATAAAGTACTGATTCATGGATGAACCTTGAAGTCACTATGCCAAGTTAAAGATACCCATCACAAAGACTGCATAGTGTATGAATCCATTTACACAAAATGTCCAGAATAGGCAAATCTATAGAGAAAGTAAATTAGTGGTGGGCAGGGCCTAATGGGAAAGGGGAATTCGGAGTGACTATTAATGGGTATGGAGTTTCTTTTTGGAGTAATAAAAACGTTCTAAAATTAGATAGTGGTTAAGGTTGTGCAACTCTGTGAATATAATATAAACTACTGAATTGTATATTTAAAAGGGTGAATTTTATGATGTGTAAATTGTATGCTGACAAAGCTGTTATACAAAACGTGTTGGATGAGAAATTAAGAAAAGCTTTAAAACTTACTTGATGGAAAAAAGTTTTGTCAACAACATTTTCAATCTGTTTTGCTTTTTTATTCCGACCTGGCTGTATTTTCATTTCACCACCATTCCATTTGTTCTCCAGTAGTCGCTGGTGTTGATACTGAAAGGTCAGGGGATCTCTCCCCGGAGGAGGATGACAGTACAGGAGTTTACCCTATAAAGACAGTATGAATGGTATCAGCGCATCACAAATGCCATCTGTCAGACAAGGCATCTCAACCAGGCACACTCTGATGGAGCTTTCCGCTTTTGATTAAATTAGCTAAGTTGAGTTTTGGCTAACTGCAACGGAAGAGTCCTAATAAACTGATGATGATCCTTGGTGTTCTAGAGGCCTAGTCTCCTGCCATAGCCCCAGACAAGAATAAAATCTTCTCTGCTCCTTTTTTAAAAAAATCCTCACCAGAGGATATTTTTTTCATTTATTATGATTGTTTTTTTAGGTAGGTAGGTAGGGAGGGAGGGAGGGAGGGAGGGAGGGAGGGAGAAAAGGAGGGAGGAAGGAAGGGAAAGAAACAGTGCCTCCCGCATGTGCTCCAACCAGGGTCTGGAATTGAGCCTGTAATCAAGGTATGTGCCCTTGAATAGAATAGAACCCAGGACACTTCAGTCCAGGGGCCGATGTTCTATCCACTGAGCCAAACCAGCTAGGACTCTGTGCTCCTTTTTACTTCACTTGCATATCTATTAAAGTATGCACTTTTCAGTACACTTGTATGACTTATGATGAATATTTTCCAAAGCGAAAACTAGGACACAACTGGACAGTGACTGTACTAATGGGATCCTGGGCTGATTGCAGTTGTTCACTGGATGCAGATTTCCCTTTTCCATCATAAACACTCCAAAACCTATTATTTTTAATGCACCTTCCCATCCTCCAGTTTTATAAATTGTAAACAAATAATTTACCCATATAAATATTCGATTAACTACTTTCTCCCTGAATTGAAGGCAAGAGAATATGCCTGCTCACTTTTATTTTCCATAATAATATCATGAGATAGGTACTATTAGTTCCTCCTCCATTGATGAAGAAAATCCAAAACTTAGCATGCCCTCATTTATAATATGGAAATAATAACCTCACAGACTTATGTATTTTAAGTGAGATAATAAACGTAAAACATTTGAAAGTATTCCCAGCAGGGTTTAGCTTTGAATAAATGTTAGCTATTATTGTTGTTACTAGATAAATGTAAGGAGAAAGACATATGAACACTATATTACAGGGAAGACTGTGTTATAGGAGTGGAAAAACCAGGTGTTCAGAGACCTTCGTCTCCTTCCTATTAGGTTGTCAGTCTACTTTATTGCTTTATATGATGCTAGCTCTCCCGGATCAAAACTATAAATCTAGTTATAAAACAATCTCAATGAGAAAATATCTCCTTTATAACTTAACAGGTAGCCATTTTCTAAAGTCATACTGTGGAGAAAGAAGACCTGTTTATTCAAGAGCAACAAGAAGCAGGGTTCCCTTACATTGACATAATCCTTCAGGATGTAGCGTGCAGACCGAGGCTGGTCTGGCTGCCCGTGCGCTGTCATGAATCCTCGCATATCTGTGAGGAGAAAGGAATTTTGCAAAACCTAAGTTAGAAGACAGAACATCACAACAAAACAAGTGTGGTGATAACTTAGACCTTTCCCTTAATGCACTAGCATCCACACTTTCTACTTTGAAAAGTCAATAATCATTGTAGAAAATATTTTGGTTCACATGATAAAAACATTTGATAACCCAGGAGAATAGACCATATGGTTTTATCTGATATCCTAGCACCACACTGTGACACAATGCAACTTCTTTCTACTCCACTTCTTTCATTTCTTGATTTTAAACATTCAAGGAGGCTACTTGTAGAATGCTATGTTGTCATTATTAGCAAAACCAAAAGCAATAGAGCAAGTTTTCTTATGTATATCCCCACACTTTTTCCAGTTTCCCAGAGAGACAGCGAAGATGCTTTTACTACTAACTCAATTAGAAGGGAGGAGCAGAGCACAGCGGATAAAAATATAGGCGTTGGCAGCCAGGTTGGGTTCAAAACTCAGCTCCCTCACATACTAGCTGTGTGCTGGCTCTTTCCGTTTAGAATAGTTAGAATCCTAGAGTTCACCTCACACAAAAAAGCAGATTCAGGCAGATTAAAAATCTAAAGGTTTTAAATAAGAAAAGATATTAGAGGAAAATAGTTTTATCCTTTTGGCATAGAAATGGTCTTCCCCAAGTAAAATGCCAAAAAGAAAACAACAACAATAATCCAGTCTATTAAAAATATTTCTATGTTAAAGAAACCATAAACATTGGGAAAACATTTGTGGCACATGTAACAAAGAACTCCTACAAATCAAGATAAAAACAAATAATGCATAGAAACAAGGTGATTTCCAAAAGAAACATAGATGGTTAACAAACATATGGACAGATGCTCAATTTCACTTTTATTTAAAGAAATAAATTAGCCGAAACCGGTTTGGCTCAGTGGATAGAGCGTCGGCCTGCGGACTGAAGGGTCCCAGGTTTGATTCCGGTCGAGGGCATGTACCTTGGTTGTGGGCACATCCCCAGTGGGGAGTGTGCAGGAGGCAGCTGATCGATGTTTCTCTCTCATCGATGTTTCTAACTCTCTATCCCTCTCCCTTCCTCTCTGTAAAAAATCAATAAAATATATTAAAAAAAAAAGAAATAAATTAAATCAAGAATTATTTAGCAACATCTTTTAAAATTAACTGCCGGAGACTATTCTTTATGGACCTGCAGATGGCGACCTTAGAAACTGTACGTGTGGTCATCCCTGCCTACAAAAAGGCGTTTTCCTTTCTCTAACTTGCTCAGTGTCCTGGAAAGATTAGGAAAAACGGGTTCTCATCCAGGCTGTGCCACTGACCAGACACCACCTTGGGCAAGTTAGCTCATGCTTTGATTTCAGATTACTTGTTAAGAAAGGGGAGCAAGAGGTGGGGCGATCTTTAAGGTCTCTTCTAGTTCTGTGATTTGTGACTATACCAGTCTTAACACAAGTGCTTAGTATCCATCCTTGTTAAAGTTTTTCATCTTAGCCCTAGCTGGTTTGGCTCAATGGATAGAGCATCGGCCTGCAGACTGAAGGGTCCCAGGTTCGATTCCAGTCAAGGGCATATGCTCAGGTTGTAGGCTCGATCCCCACTGTGGGGCATGCAGGAGGCAGCCGATCAATGATTCGTTCTCATTATTGATGTTTCTCTCTCTCTCCCTCTTCCTTCCTCTCTGTAATCAATAAAAAATATATTAAAGAAACAAAAAAGTCTCTCAACTTTGGTAGGTTCAAGGTCTGACTTAAGCATTGTCCCTATCAAATCACCTTTGCCTGCCAGGAAATAATAAAATGAACTGAACTCCTTCCCAGGCTGGTGACAATTCTTTTAAAGGCAGGTCACACATGCACAGAAATGCTTCTAACATTGCTACCCCTTTAAGTAGACACAGGTTCCCCCAGACAACCTTTAAAGTTTGTATTTAAGGTAAATAAATTACAACCAACTGGAGAAATGATAGGCTAAAGTAACTTGCACGTGAAATTGAGGTAAAACATGGAGGTGGGAGAGTGTGGACTCATTTTAATGTTGAATGAGGCTTACAGAAGAGGTTTTGTGTCCCTATTCCCTATCCTAACTGCTCTGTCCCACTCTAAGGGCTTTCCCTTCTGACGCTCCCCTCATTACTCTCTTATCCTGCTCTGATAGCACATTCCTTTTCTTCCGTTTTGGGAGAAGTCTCCAGAAAAAGCCAACCTAGCCTCAGATCAGAACTAGTGCCTACACTTGGGTATCATCAAAGCGGTGCATGTCCCGTGGGCCTTTCCTTTAGAAGCGAGTGGTAACTGCTGACAGGCCCTGTGCTCCCTGTGGGGGCTCTGAACACTGCCACATCGAGGCCTCTACACGGAAAGGGCCCGAGACCAGGAGAGTATGGAGGACGCGTCTCCCCAGGGAGTGGTTTCTGAGGTGAAGGGAGAGACAAAGAATACAAAGCATCTCCTTCTCTAACTTTTAGAAAGCACTTCACACACTGAAGTAAAAGAGCACTCAGGTGGCGCTCTGCTCTCCTCCGCTACCGGTGGACCCTGAAGCCACCATCCAGCCAGATACCTGGAGGCCACTTTACAGGCAAGGCCAACAGAGAAAACAAAAATATCAACTCTGGAAGAGGACATGACAAATGCTAAGGAAAAATTCTGAATTTGTATCTTTGCAGAGGACTATTTCTCTCAGTAACTTTATTTTTTGTTCATGTTTTAATACAAACCACATCTCACATCCATAAGCTGTCAGCAGTTCTTCTGATGTTGGAGGCCGATGGGGATCTTCATCCTCTCTAGGCTTTATGATGTTAATGCCATAGGTAGCTTCTAAAACATGTCTTGGAATATTCTGGCAAACGTAAGCTTGTCAAGGAAACCATTCCCTTGAACTGTCCCCTTCTTCCCCCTAGTGTCTGGCACATGCTTGTAAGAACATGGTATGTCAGCACTTCTATGGCAAAAATCTTTTCACCTCTCCAAAAGAGAAGTAGTTATTAATTAAAATTTTTTTTTCCCTTTTAAACAAAGCCTTATGCACCAATGAATCCTTTTAAATAATTATTAAAATCTCTGAAATACATCTTAAAGTTGACAAATTTTTACCTAAACCAACAATCAATTTGTGAGATAATCCCAATTCGAACATAAAGCAGAGAGAGTCTGTTTCTAATTCCTATGACCATGTAAGGAGAATTTTTTTTTTCTCCCATAGATTTTTCTTAACCCACTTACGACTTTCTATCTTGTACCACGGTTACTTATGTACATGACGCATAGCCCTGACAGAACGAATCCTGAAAGGGCAGGATCCACATCAGACTCATGCCAGCATCCTCCACAGAACCCAACCTAATCTGGCTTGCAATACATTTTTTGAGATTCATCCAGGTTGCTATAAAAGATTTAGTACATTCTCTCTTTTTTCCCTTATTTTTCAATTACAGTTTACTTTCAATATTATTTCGTATGAGTTTCAGGTGTACAGCATAGTGGTTAGACAATCATATACTTTGCAAAGTGCTCCCCTCAATAATTGCAGTACCCACCGGGCACCATACCTAGTTATTGCAATATTATTGACTATATTCCCTATGCCAGTGATGGTGAACCTTTTGAGCTCGGCGTGTCAACATTTTGAAAAACCCTAACTTAACTCTGGTGCCGTGTCACATATAGAAATTTTTTGATATTTGCAACCATAGTAAAGCAAAGACTTATATTTTTGATATTTATTTTATATATTTAAATGCCATTTAACAAAGAAAAATCAACCAAAAAAATGAGTTCGCGTGTCACCTCTGACACACGTGTCATAGGCTCGCCATCACTGCCCTATGCTGTACTTTATGCATTCTTTTGAACAACTGTACTCTATTTTAGAAATGTATTATATTTTATTTATCATGGTAAATAAATTTTTACTTATTTCTTATAGAAAGAGAAAATAAATTGGGGTAAACAAAAAGCTGTGGTCTTAAGTGCAGTCATTAAAAGTCTTGTCAAGAACCATGCAGGGCCTAGCCAGCATGGCTCAGTGGTTGAGCATCGGCCTACGTACCAGGAGGTCACAGTTCGAATCCTCGTCAGGATATATGCCTGGTTGTGGGCTGGACCCCCAGTGGGAGGCGTGCAGGAGGCAGCCGATCAATGATTCTCTCTCATCATTGAGGTTTCTCTCTCTCTCCCGCTCTCCCCTCCTCTCTGGGAAAAAAAAAAAAAAAGAAATTGTGCAGTATCCACCTCAAGGGTTGTCTTGAAAATTAAATGAGGTATGACTTGGCAAGTGTTTAGGGAAGTACATAGCATTCGGTAAATGTTAGCTGTAATGATTAAATTCTCATAAATGATTGGGAGGCAGCTATTATTACCCGTAAAAGACTCTGGAAGGTTGGGCAAGTTTTCCAAGGTCACTCAAGTAGTTAAATGGCAGTGTCAGGATTCCAGCAGCTTTGCAATTGGAGGCTGAGGTCCCAGGTTGGGATCCTCCATTTATACCAGGCTACCCTGCTGCAACCAGGACGTGGGGTTCCAATTCTGAAGTCCTGATGCTCTCTCACTATATAAACTTGGGCAGAGCACTAGTAAATATTTTAGATTTTTCATTCTCAGATTATCAGTCCTGAATACATCAATCCAAGACAATGTCCAAAATAAACTTGAAGCCCCAATTCACACGTAACAACCAGGGTCTTTACCAAGCAGAAAGGATATTAGTGATATAGGTGGAACGTGATCTCTCATCTGGTCAATTGGGAGGATTCCGTTGCAAGTCATCTCAGCCTTGGTAGAGACAAAGGATGGCATCACCAGGCCTGGGCAGTCACATAAGCAGAGGCCAGGTTCCACAAAGAGAGTCTGAAAGACAAGTAAGAGGATTTGATGCTGGGCATACAGAGGAGGAAGGGAATGAAAAGCAGCACACAAGTGACACAGAACTTGAGAAAATACCCAGATGGAGGAATTGGCTGAGTAGGAAATACAGAGGCCACTGCTGTAGCAATAAATACCTGAAAATGCTTGGTGTGACCAGGTGTGGCAGACACAGATACTTTCTTGTTGCCCATGATAGTGTTGATTGTTGAACTCTTACCAACATTTGGGTAGCCCACCTAGAAGAGATTCAGAAGTTACTAAATAGTCAAACAGCACACCTATCAAAGATCCAAAGATATGATAGAAATAGTGGCAACACTAGCATGAGTCTGGTTGCTTCCGAAGGTTATTTGAAATATACGTTGTTTGTTGTCAGACATTTTCCCACCTGTGGTATGGGTATTTGTTCACATTCATCTCCAGTGATGAATAGTACATTTTATTTATTTTTAAAATATACTTTTATTGATTTCAGAGAGAAAGGGAGAGGGACAGAGAGATAGAAACATCAATGATGAGAGAGAATCATTGATTGGCTGCCTCCTGAACGCCCCCCATTGAGAATCGAGCCCGAAACCCAGGCATGTGCCCTTGGCCGGAATTGAACATGGAACCCTTCAGTCTGCAGGCTGACACTCTATTCACTGAGCCAAACCAGCCAGGGCAGTACATTTTATTTTTATAAGTTTTGCTATCACAGCAGATGCTCCAGTAAAACTTACCACCTTGTTCCCAGCTCTTCCCCTCCCTCTTCCCAGCTACAGGCATTTCAGTTCCCATTGGATCTTCCATACTGGGTGAAGCTGAGCATCACAGATATTTTCATTATCACAACATACAATTATTGAGCCTGCAACCCAGGCATGTGCCCTGACTGGGAATCGAACCTCAACCTCCTGGTTCATAGGTTGACACTCAACCACTGAGCCACACCAGCCGGGCTGGTTATTTTTAATAACATTAACAAGTTTCTGTCTTGCTGGCCTAAAATGTCAAATGACACAATGAGCTGAGGTGGGTTATCAAGCTACTAAAACTCTTCAATTACTCTTGGGTTCTGGGTGAAACACTATCCATTCTTTCACCTCTGTCTCTCCCCAACTATCAATAAATTGGAAATGTCATGTTGCCTCAGATCAAGCAGGATCATATAAATTATGCCACCCTTGTTCTAAAATGACAAGCAAACTTTTTGCTCAAATTATGCCACCCTTGTTCTATGCCTTTTCTCAGGCTTTCTCCCAGGCCTCCAAATCCAATCCACTCTTTTACATGGTTCCAAAAATCCTCCATTAACATGCCTGGAAGGTTAGAAAATACCAATCTCATTGAATATAAAATCCCAAACTTTCACCTCTATTACAAGACTTAAAATGGACACACTTCCACCATTCCAGTCTTAACTCTCACCACTCTTCAAACTTCAACCACACTCGATCACATGCCATGCAATGAACACACTTTCCCATTCCTCCTGCTCTGCTTGAACATTTCCCTTTTGCCTGTCTGGATGCCCTTCCACGGTCACTTGTCAAAACCTTACATCATACTTTAAGATAAAGCTCTTAAAAGATTTCAGGTAACTGCTTATTAATTTCAATATTCTTCTGTTTTGTATTTATATCTTGATCACCTGATATATTATTATATGTTTAAGTGCTATTTGTTGGGGTGAGGGGAGAGGACTTTTGTTGCTGTCATCCTCCCCCCACCCAATCAGGTTCCCTCATGATATATACTCCTCTAGGGCATTAAACGTCCCCCTCTCTACTTGGATTACAACATCTAGGAGGGTGGGACTGTGTCTGCCTTGTCTACACTATCTGTACATGGCTAGGGCCTAGCAGGATGCGTGGCATATAGTAGGTGATCAATAAATGTTTGCAGAATGAGTAAATTAACCTATTTTAGGATTTCTACAGGAGGGAGGCTGCTTCACATTTCCATAAACATGAGGGAAGTTGGTTTTCTGGTACATGTGGAAAATTTACTTTCCTCCACTATTTTGTTCTCCTGGATGGAAGATCTTTAAAATAATGCCCTAACATTGTACATTTCCTTAGCTAAAAGATGCAGCCAACTGGAACCAGGCTGTACCCTCTTCAGGTGTGGGCACTTTTCACAGCTATCTGGGATTTAGGGTATATGGAGTTAGCAATGCAATCTCCTTTCCCTTATTTGCAGTGTTTATGCAACTAAAGCATTTATCATATTTTCCCTGTCCCCACGATGCTGGGATTCTCCCAAACACACTTCTGAAACACTTAGAGTATAAGTTGTCAAGGATCACAGTGTAAGTTGCCAAAAGCCTACCTTACCTAAAAAGCCCATCTTACCTAAACCTAAGAACATCAGACTAGAAGTCCAAACACAACCTCATTCTAGTATCGTTTGGTAAGTCACATGATAGGCAGTGCTGAACTGGAAAAAGTGAAGACTAATATGAACAGGGCCATAACCAATATAAGCCTTGAGAAAATTCAGTTTTGAGATGGGCTTTGCCTGTCACACTGCCCACTCCCACGATGGCAGCGGGGCATTCCCTATGATACCTGATTGGTCTCTGGGGTTCCAGTGCAGCTACCAAGAATGGAGAATTAAAGACCCTCAGGCGGTAACAAATTTATGACACATTTCATCTTACCAGTCCAACAGTAAGGTGCTGATCTTTCACCTTCTTCCCAGTGTGCAGCTGCTTAAAGATCTCCAGTAGCTCCTGCTTTGATACCAGGTGGCTGAAATTGCGCGTTTGCCTCTTCTGCGGGGTTTTCCTGCCCTGAGCCTTGGCATCCACTGTACAGCTTTCCTGCCAGTCCTGGCCACAGGCTTCTTCGTCAGGGTCGCTGTCCTCTTCCGAACATGTCTGCCAATCCTCCTCCTCCTCCTCCTGACAGTCCTCATACTCACTGTCGTCTTCATCACTAGCGACAACTTCACTAAGTGAGAGAGGATCCCTCTCTAGATGTCGAGTCTCACCTTGTGGAATTTCAGCCTCATCACAGCTGGAGTTTTCAGAGTCAGTTCTGTTGGCTTCTTCAGCATCTGCATCTGCTTGTTCCTGATGAATAACAGAAAAGACAAAAGTTCAAAACTGTATGCCGAAACCGGTTTGGCTCAGTGGATAGAGCGTCGGCCTGCAGACTGAAAGGTCCCAGGTTCGATTCCAGTCAAGGGCATGTACCTGGGTTGCGGGCACATCCCCAGTAGGAGATGTGCAGGAGGCAGCTGATTGCTATTTCTCTCTCATCGATGTTTCTAACTCTCTATCTCTCTCCCTTCCTCTCTGTAAAAAATCAATAAAATATATTTTTAAAAAAATTAAAAAAAAAAACACCAAAAAACTGTATAACTGCACTTTTTCACTCCAGTGAAAATACTCGAGTTGGTTATCTACGATGAACACAGGACAAGTTATGAAGGAGACCAGAAAAGGTGCCCTTGGCAGAGGGGAGGAGCAGTGGGCCTTCCCTTTATACCTTTCTGTATGGTTTGAACTTTGTACAGTAATATGTATTACTTTTGTAACAGATAAATCTTTAAAGAAAGCACGGGTTTAGGAAAGCCTGCGTCAAGCTGAATTCTTTGGCCATACATTATTTTGTAATGGACTGCAGAATAAAACAAAGCATTTTTCATTAACAATAAAACATTTTCTTCTATACACAAAGGAAGAAGGGTTTAGTTTGTAGTTTGAGTTTCATTTTACATTTTTAAAGACAGTGGTTTGAATGTTTAAGGAAACTGCTATTCTTTTGTAATTGCCATTAGTAAATCAAAACCCCTTGGAGATAGTTCCCCGTGGAAAATGTAGGAGCAACAAAACTCAACTCTGTATATGGAAATTATTCACCAATTAAAGATTTCCTTTGGAGAAAAATAAAATCATGTACTATTCATGGGTGTATTAATTCTTCTGAATTCCTACTGATAACAAAGCAGAAACAAGGCAATTTACAGTATTACTAATTTGTAACAAGGATGAAGTGGTTTGAATTTAGAAGTGATGTAAATAAACCTTGCATCATTTTCAAATGATCTATAGTGTTAGCATGAGTAGCTACACAGGTGGGGACATTATGAACCCAGTTAAAAACGTATCTTAGATTTTAGGAAAGCGATGTAAACAAAATGTGAGGGAAAATAGGTATGATTTCATGATAATGCCTGGCAACTCAAACAGAAACATGGAATTGGAAGCAATTTCTATGATAAATGATCAATGTAAAGAAGTCACTGTGTGCTTTTCTGAATAATTTTAAAATATGAAAGAGACAGCCCAGCTGGTGTGGCTCAGTGGTTGTATTGACCCAGGAACCAGGAGGTTGCGGTTCAATTCCCGGTCTCAGCACACGCCCGGGGTTGTGGGTGCAATTTCCAATGGGGGGTGTGCAGGAGGCATCCGATTGATGATGTTTTTCTCTCATCGATATTTCTATTTCTCTATCCCTCTCCCTTCCTCTCTCCCTCTCTTAAAAAAATAAAATAAAAAGAAGTGTTCTAAGGTGAGCTCAGGGAGGTCAGAAAAATAAAAAGAAGGGAAAAGTCAATCTTTGGGGGAATGCAGTGCAATTTAACAGATGACCAAGAGAAAACCGAGGTACTCAACTCAAAAAAAATGTTATACATTTTTTTTAAATAAGAAGGGGTCAAATAACTATAGAAGAAGAACCAAACTTCAAATAGATGAGAAAACAGTGAATACCAAACTACTTTTAATGATTCCATGTTTGACAGTCAATTGACAGATGTGATTCCATATATAATAACACGGTGGCTGGCATTTTGTCTTAGGAAATCATGAAAAACAGATTTCAGAAGACTTAGAAGTAGTAAATGGAGCCTAACTTTTAAAAAGGAAAAACGAGTATCTTCCACAAACCACACACTATTAACCCAGAATCTGATATGGAAACAATTCCACAGTTAGCTGGTGAGCCCTAAAAAGAGACATTCAGCAACAGGGGATCCCTGAGAAAAGACCATGCCTACAAACTCCATTTCCCTTTGAAATCTTCTACTTGGTTGACTGTTTAGGGAATATCACAGGTGTAGAAATTAATCCTTTTTCCATTTTTGACAGGGTTATTGGGTTGGTGCATCAGGGCTAATCAATACAGTGATATAAATATTTAAAATATATTTTTATTGATTTCAGAGAAGAAGGGAGAGGGAGCGAAAGATAGAAACATCAATGTTGAGAGAGAATCACTGATTGGTTGCCCCAACCCGGCATGAGCCCTGATCCGAAATCGAACTATGACCTCCCTCGTTCATAGGTCGACACTCAACCTCTGAGCCACCGGCCAGGCTATTCAAAGACTCCAGCAAGACAATTATTCAAACAACAGAAATGATGATAAGAGGACAAACTATCACCGAAACTGGTTTGGCTCAGTGGATAGAGCGTCAGCCTGCGGACTGAAAGGTCCCAGGTTCGATTCCGGTCAAGGGCATGTACCTTGGTTGCGGGCATATCCCCAGTTGGGAGTGTGCAGGAGGCAGCTGATTGATGTTTCTCTCTCATTGATGTTTCTAACTCTCTATCTCTCCCCCTTCCTCAAAGACTCCAGCAAGACAATTATTGAAACAACAGAAAAATGGTTAAGAGGACAAACTATGAAGCCAGACTGCCCGAGGCCAACAGGCACTTACACTTATTGTTGAAAAGAATAAAATACATAGTGCTTAGAACAGTGGTACCTGACAGAGAATAAATTTTCTAAGGGTTAGTTTTTATTAACAACAACAACAACAACGTTGTTGCAGCGACATTTGCATTGAGTGCTCATAAGTCCACCAAAAGTTACAGAGCTCTATGCTTGGTCCCAATTGGTCCTAATCTATTTAACAATGTTACCAGTGAGTGGAAAGAATATATAAAAGGACAAACACACGAAATATGCACAAGATTCAAAGCTGGAAGAACAGAAAAGCAAACTGCACAACCAAAATGAACTCTACCTTCACCCCAAATCACTAATATTTGAAAGGAATAGTAATATCCTAAGTTAAGGTAAAAACAAAAGGAAAACTTTTTCCAAATGTAAAGGTAGTATGATGTCTGCTAAGGCTATTCTTTAAATACTAGTGGCCCTGTGCACGGATTCGTGCACATTGAAAGGGAATATTTTAATATCGCTATTCACCCTTTCTCTATAATAGAAGTGTCAACCAAATTCAGGTTGACAATGACAGAGCGAAACATACGTACGAATGGCACCAGTGAGAGCTTTATATGTATTGCACATGCACAAGTCAACTTAGCCATATATATATATATATATATATATATGTATGTATGTATATGTAGAATAAACTTGCTTCATTAGACCTGCTTTCTGATTTAGCTAAATTTTTTCCAGCCCAGTGAAGCACCCCAACTTCTCTTTCAGGTAATTGTCCGCAACACAGCAGTAAATATCAACACAAAGCAGATTATTATTGTAGACCATGCAGGAAGAACAAAGGGTAAAATATTTAACTGCAGCAGTGTTTGACTATATTCTGCGCAGTGAGAAAACCTGAAGTCATTTTCAAGGTCCACCATTTCTTACTTCTTTTCAGTTGGGTCCAGTATCTACGCTTTCTAAATCTCTGTTTTCCGGCTAATGAAAAGAAAATAGGATTCCACTGAGTCGCCTATCTACCTACTCCAGGACTTCAAATGAGATGAGGCACAGAAAACGCTTCACAGACATTTGGTTACAGTGTAAAATGTTTGTACCTGGCTATAAAGCAAGTCGTGTTCCGGGGCTAAAGAAACTGCAAGGGGATGGCAGAGATGTTACCTTGTCACCCATTTTTCTATAGGTCAGTGATGGCGAACCTATGACACGCGTGTCAGAGGTGACACACGAACTCATTTTTTTGGTTGATTTTTCTTTGTTAAATGGCATTTAAATATATAAAATAAATATCAAAAATATAAGTCTTTGTTTTACTATGGTTGCAAATATCAAAAAATTTCTATATGTGACACAGCACCAGAGTTAAGTTAGGGTTTTGCAAAATGCTGACACGCCGAGCTCAAAAGGTTCGCCATCACTGCTATAGGTCCTCCTACTATCATAGCACTTAGGGAAAAAATAAACAAACCAACCCCCCAAATTTCCATTAATCTCCCTGAAACCCAACCTGGAAAAGTCCCGCAGGTTACCTTAGAGTCACCAATTAGTGGGATGGCTTCAGCCAAAGCTGACCAGAAAACCACCTTCACATTTTCTTTTTCAAAGTATGTGGCCCAGGCGCTCCGCTGCTCAGAAGTCAACAAGTCTGCCTTATTTATCAGAATCACATTCTCCTTATCGTCATCTATTTCTTTCACATAACATTCCTAGGAAAGACAAATATAATTAGAAAGGCTTCTTCCAACAAGTAAAAATTAGGCTAATTATACTGAAGAACACCCCCCCACACCCACCTACGACTAAAAGTTTTCACTGCTCTTTTTTATATCATTCCTAATTTAAATATTTTTAATCATGGCACATTCTACTGACCCTCTCAGTAAACTTTGAAAAGAAGTGAGGTCACATAAAGAAATATTCTCAACGTAAGAAATTGGAAGGGGTAAAAAATGCTTTCCTGCCCCGTTGTAAAACAGGTCCTTTTGTCTTTAATAGTGCTGAACTGTTCCGTTTAAACAAGTTAAAAAACAACAACTGCATAACTAGATTTGTTGGCCAGCAGGGACTATTTTTCAGCCTTGTGATGACAGCCAACAATATTTACTGTAAAAATTATTTTTGAATTCTAAAAGAAAACCAAGACTAAGTCACTGAAATAAATTCCCAAGTTTGGTTCTGCATTAGGAAATATACCAGAAGTATAAAAGCTGACTTCCTAGGAATTTCACCGTTAAGATTCATGCTATTTACCAGTGGATTTTAAAATAATCTGTACTATTACTACTATGATCCTCAGTAGGAAAACTTCACGTGTGTTTTATTAATTCAAAGCCTACACTGCATTATTTCATGTGATTCTCATACCTTATTAGCCCCTGTGGTGGCTTACAAACTTAGTTTATTTATAAACCGCCACAGGGGGTAATAACTAAAGTGTGAGAAGAGAAAACTTAATGGGATGGATAAGAAGTAAAATAACCAGGAATATATCAAAGTAAGTAAAATGCTATTTTGACTGGTGTCTCAAAAAATGAGAAACACTGGCAAATGTCTATTAACAAAGTGGCTTCTAAACGAAAAGCTGGAAAGTTCACATCAGTGTTTGTGTCTTCCTGCAGACAGAAACAACTGTTTGAGAAGAGAAAACATCTGTCACAACCAGTCACATTACGAAAGCTTTTAACCCTTGGAGGAAAGGCCTACCTAACTAAACAAAGCTGGAGGAGAGTACAGAACGCTTGTCTAGAGTATTTCTATCAGTGATGCTGTCCTCCCACTGCTCCTCCAAGGTTGTTAGATTTGAATCTTACGACACTTTACTTACCAAATCCTCACATCTAAACAGGAGGGGGTTTCGAGCATCTACTATCTGGACCACGATATCGCTGCAAAACAAATGTGAGATATTCCAATCATTGTGAAGTAAAAGGAAATGCTGACCATATAGTACGAGAAGCAAACATTTTCCATATAGTAAGCATTTGACATGTTTAACTTTTTAAGGTACAACTATTCCCCATTTATATATGAGGAAAGTAAAGCTTAGAACAATTAAGTAACTTGTCCAAGGTTGCCAACTACCAACTGATAGAACCAGAATGGGAACTAAGGTAGTATGGACCAGGGGCCATGCTCATAATCATAATATTGTCCTGCTCTTATACTAACAGCTCTGATGATATTTCATTGCTAAAATTTTAACTGTATCTTCTAGTAACTTCTGGAGAGATAAAGCGAGGTCCACCACATATTCAGTACTTAATCTAAACCGTGTTAAGGCCTCAAAAAAACCCTAATATATTTATCACCTGCTGACAGCTGCCCTATCAAAGCCTACATCTAGCACTTAATCATCCACCCACTCCAAGAATGGGTTTAGATGGCAAGAATCCAAAACAGCAAAATATCAACTTAAGTTGCCATCCTGAAGCAGGAATGATGAGTCCAATTTCTTCAACTACATAGATGATGTATAAAAAATTTTCTGCCCTGGCCAGGTGGCTCAGTTGGTTGAAGCATCATCCCGTGCAGTGGAAGGTTGGGGTTCGATTCCTGGTCAGGGCATATACCTAGGTTGCGAGTTTGATCCCTAGTCAGAGTGAATATGGGAGGCAATTGATCAAGTTTCTCCACCTCCCTTCCCCTTCTTCTCTCTCCAAAATCAATAATAATAATAAAATCTTCAGGTAAGGATTAAAAAAAGAAAAGAAAACTACAGTTGATAGCAAGCCCCTCAAAATGTGGTAGGGACTATAGCAGCCCAGCATTGCAAGCAGCACAAGTATTTCACTTTACTGGGAGTATCCTCCCTTCCTTCAGCTTCTGTGTTTAGAAAAGATGTTTGTTTTTTTTTAAAAAAATATATATTTTATTGATTTTTTACAGAGAGGAAGGGGAAGAATAGAGAGCTAGAAACATCGATGAGAGAGAAACATCGATCAGCTGCCTCCTGCACACCCCCTACTGGGGATGTGCCCGCAACCAAGGTACATGCCCTTGACCGGAATCGAACCTGGGACCCTTCAGTCCACAGGCCGACGCTCTATCCACTGAGGCCAACCGGTTAGGGCAGCCGTGGGCAAACTACGGCCCGCGGGCCGGATCCGGCCCGTTTCAAATGAATAAAACTAAAAAAAAAAAAAAAAAAAGACCGTACCCTTTTATGTAATGATGTTTACTTTGAATTTATATTAGTTCACACAAACACTCCATCCATGCTTTTGTTCCGGCCCTCCGGTCCAGTTTAAGAACCCATTGTGGCCCTCGAGTCAAAAAGTTTGCCCACCCCTGGGTTAGGGCTAGAAAAGATGTTTTTTAAGGGCCAGTTGTGACTGCCACTGGAAAGGAGTAAGTTGCAGATGTACCACCTACCTCCTTACAGCAGTCTCCAAATCCATATCTGGTTAGCCTTTTTTGAGGTAACTCTTACGCAACTATGCCGAATACCAAGGAAATGCATGGAACCCAGTTACCATTGAGGGCAGGGTTTTTGACAATCAATGTACAATTCCTTTAGAACAGTTAAATTTCCAGCATAATTGTGATTCAAAGGAACTCACAGACTTGCTAATTTATGATAGATTGTTTATAAATTCTCAAATTAAGCAGGCCCTAATATTTTCTTCTTTAAGGTAATATCTACCACTTTAAAAACTGTGAGTATTTAAGAGTAAATGCAAGAATGACTGCAAAAAAGCCTAATGAACTAAAATTACAAAGTCTACAAACATTATGTCTATCTACCAAACATGTAGAAAGAATAAGAACAAGTAATCTGCTCGGAAACACCAGTAAGAGAAGAAGACACATTTAAGACAGCTTGCTTCGTGTGCTGAATTAGGATGCAGAGAAAAGTGCCAACTATGTACCAGGAAGGGTTTGCGCAACACAACGAAGGCGCCTATGTTACTGGACTGCAGTGTTCTGCCCTCGCAGTTTCCTGCATTTCAATGACATGTCATACATCAAATCTTTTCTGATAACTACTTTTGAAATCAAAGAGGCAGATGGCTTAGCTGCCTGTTACCTAATGGAAGGAGACATTGGTTGTACAGAACACGCTAGCAAATATTTCCTGTTAAAAGATGTGGCGGTAGTCACTTTATTGGTAATATTTCTATGTAACTCAGATCCACACCTCCATGTAAAACACATTATATTCATGGAGGTAGAAATATGTTCTTATAAAGAGAGAAATATCACATAATAAAAACAATAACACAAGTAACACTGTAATCCAACTGAAGCTAACTAAGAGTTTCAACAAGCACAGACTCATGCTGGGGAAACCGATTGCTTATTTAGGGCATAAAAAGCGAGTAAAGGGCCATCCTGTTAAACATGGGAGAACACGTATGGTTACTTTTGTTCCCTGTCAAAACCTACAAAAAGGGAAGGCCGGAACTCATTAGGACGAAGAGACAGAAAGAAGAGCAACTAAGACATGTCAAACCTATAAGAGGCAAGCCTGTGCCCACCCCCGAGCCCCGAGAAAACTCGGATAGAAGCATTAGATTTAGCTCTCAAGGCCAGGGAGAGGAGAGGCACTGAAGCCAATCTGAACGGGGAGCTCTTAGGTCATTCCCTGTTCCCTTCAACCAGGCAATTACGCCCCACCCGGCTTACAAGTTTAATCCAATTCCTGTTGTTGTATTTTTTTTTTAACATAACAATGCAAATGCACTAATATTCTTTTCCGAGAACCAGGCATCCTGTTTCCTAATGTTCTTACTGGGTACACTTTATGTATTTAAAAAAAAAAATACAACCTGAAAGTTCCTTTTGTTAAAAAACATCATTTCAAATATAAATTTCATTTATGGAGTCTTTGTAAGTAATTCAGACACCTTGAGGAAAACAAAAACCTTTTAACTATACCAACAATTTTCACAATCTTTTTCATCTTACGGCACATATAAACTAATTACTAAAATTCCGCGGCACATCAAAAATAATTTTTGACAATCTAACAAAACAAAAAAAGGGTATAATTTTGATTCATTCACACGGGACAGCTACTGTGTTGGATGCTGTCATTTTTTTATTTGACTATCTAAGCGAAAAGAGGTCAGTGCCCCTGACCAAAAAGTCAGGTACTGCGTGTTTTAAAATTCTTGCAGCACACTGGTTGAAAAAGCTGCACTATTATCAAAGAGGTGAGAATGGAGAAAGTTGATTCATTCATTTCTAACAATCAAGACATGAAAAAGACTGAAAATATCCCATTCTTAATTTATTAAAATTTTTCTTTTTTCAAATTCCAATTAAAACAATCATTCCCCCCACCCAATCCTTCCTTATCAACTGCTCCTTCCTGGCCTATGACTTGGCCCACTACCTTTCTATCTGCAACACAGTAGGAATCACACTGCTTTGTATTTTACCAGAACTGCATCGTCCTAGACCTAGTGCAGTGATGGCGAACCTTTTGAGCTCGGCGTGTCAGCATTTTGAAAAACCCTACCTTAACTCTTCTTAATTTATTAAAATTTTTCTTTTTTCAAATTCCAATTAAAACAATCATTCCCCCCACCCAATCCTTCCTTATCAACTGCTCCTTCCTGGCCTATGACTTGGCCCACTACCTTTCTATCTGCAACACAGTAGGAATCACACTGCTTTGTATTTTACCAGAACTGCATCGTCCTAGACCTAGTGCAGTGATGGCGAACCTTTTGAGCTCGGCGTGTCAGCATTTTGAAAAACCCTACCTTAACTCTGGTGCCGTGTCACATATAGAAATTTTTTGATATTTGCAACCATAGTAAAACAAAGACTTATATTTTTGATATTTATTTTATATATTTAAATGCCATTTAACAAAGAAAAATCAACCAAAAAAATGAGTTCACGTGTCACCTCAGACACGCGTGTCATAGGTTCGCCATCACTGACTAGTGCATTTCATTCATCTGTTGTGTACTCTGTTGTCTGGTGCTTTGCTTTGCCTCCCCCCATAATATACTGGCTCTTTCAGGCAGATACCTATTCCTTTTCACGCCCATATTTTCTGTATTACCAGAAATTCAATATACAGTGGCTGAAATAACTACAGTTGCTTCAGAACTCATCTTACAGAAAATGCTCACCATTCTCACAAGCTTACTGTGTTCATCTAATAACAAAAAACATTATATATTTTAAAAAACAGTATCATACTTTCAGTTTTTATAATAATTCTCAACAACAGCCCTTTGTATAGCTTAATCCTGCCCCCCTCCCCCATCCCTGGCCTATAAACATGTATTAACACCTAAATCTAATATAACACAACAACATCGCCAGTACCCCTCTCCCCAAAATGCTCATTTACCTTCGCTCAATCACCCTCCAGAGTTGGCGCCAAAAGTCCAAATTTCTTTCAAATGGAGTCAATATCAGCTTTTGTTCCTCTTCTAGCCTGGCTTTAAAATGATAAGTTTATACCTTTGCCAGATTATATAGAAAGTTTTGAGTAACATAAACACTGAAATTCATTGCATTAAAAAATAAGTACACAAATATTAACTGTCAAATTGTTTTTATACTAGAGGCCTGATGCATGAAATTCGTGCAAGGGGCTTGGCCCTCGCAGCCCCGACTTCGTCCAGGAGGTCGTTGGGCTGTTCAGTCTAGTTAGCATATTATGCTTTTATTATTATAGATTATTATAGATACTTTCTGCTGAATCAATAAGAAAATCAAATTCAAGTTTTATATTTAATCTATTTAAACCCTGGAAGTTTATCTATTACACAAAGTGACAGTTCTCCACGGCATTTCTTCCTGGAGGAATGCCCGAGAGCAGTGATCAACTCCAGGGAGACTAATGGTGGAGAAGGGTATAAACGAGAGAAACAGCCAGGAATGGAGCAGAGTAAGCAACTCACCATTAACCAACTTACCATCTTTGTGCAAGGATTCATGTGTGGCCAGCAATTTGCACTTAAAAGAAATCTACCAGTTTTCTTTTAAAAGAGTTAAGTTTTCAAAATGCAAACAGCAATGCAAGCACATCAAAATGCCTGACGTGGAATCCAAGGCAAATCTTCAGATAACCTTAACACTCACCGGACAAGCTGACGTCTCCATTCTAGAAAGTTATCTTTTTCTGCCTGTTTGAGTTCTTCGGAGCTAGTTTTCTTGTTCCACTTTGGTCTGAAACAATCACAGAGGGGAAAAACTCCATATGAGTTACCAAAATAAAATAGGGGATTTGGATTTAATAATGGCAACTGACTGAGAATAGAGAGCAGAAAAAGAGTGAACATATAAAAATTTTATTCTCAGTGGCCATGTTGTGCCTCATAATGTCCTACATTCTTGTTCAACTCACCTCCTTGGTATACACAAGAACTGTTTGTTTTCTTCATGGAGCTTTTTAATTCTCTGGCTCTCCTCAAAAGACAGCAGTCCAGTTTTAGCCTCAGGAAGCACAAACTTAATATTAAGCTTCTCTGTTTATAAAACAGAAAAGAACTGTTACTTAAGAGGCAATACAAATAGTGAATATTGGTCATTACTTCAAAACTAAAAATATGAGCATCTGAAACAGAATTTAAGCTTTTAAAATTTAGATTCCTCTAGCCTTGGATAAATCATAATTTCCAAATGAAGTTTTCTACAAAAAAGGAAAATGTTTTTATTATTTATAAAACTCCATATTATAAATGCAGTAAGAGTGGGAAGAAACTGTGAAGATTTACTACAACCAATCTCTTCATTTTATATAGGCAGTGGTCGCCAACCTTTCGGACCTCACGGACCACCAGTGGTCCGCCGACCACCAGTTGCCGACCGCTGATACAGGGAGAATAATTGTAAGCCAATAGGAATGGATGGGGAAGCAAAGATTCAGCAGTCTCACTCCAGTTGAAAGGGTGAACTATTACACTATAATGTATATAAGATATGTATGATGAACACCCAGGATTAGTGCCATATATAAATTCAAATAAATATCATGTCCATGTGTGAATTAGAGAGACCTCTGTTCTAGGGCTCTATTTCCCTCCAGCCACCCCAGAATTGCTCCAGGCCTCTCGAATTCACCACACACAGCCACCTAGTCTCCGTAGAAGTCAGCTAAGCTTCTTACCAAAATGTCAAGGGAAGGTCCTATTCAAAGATAACGAGACATCTTCAGCAACATTCCTATTGACCTCTAAGCAAAGGCTGCAGTCTGCCACCCTCCTCAGACCACCAATACCTTGGGCTGCACAGTCTAGTAACCGAGAGTACAGTCAAATCCAAGCACCATTCGTAAGCAGTCGAAACACACACCCCTCGAGCTACATATTTAATAATTCTTTTAATTTCTCCTTCCAATGGTGATCTCCCACCCAATGTCCAACCACTCTTTCCCCCGAGTCTTTCCTCTTTCTCCAGTCCATCATCCAACTTCTTTCCCTAGTTGGCTAAAGCCACGTGGTACATACATTCGACCACTGTGACTGAACATCAAAATTCATTATTTCACTGCACCCACTCCCAAATCTCCACCCTTAGATAGAGCCAACTATTCTTTCTCCTTCTCATTTCAGCAGTGTTGCTATGAGTGCTGCTGCAAGTAATCATACAACAATGCAGCACCTGTCTCTGAACTGTGTTTACTACCAACACTTTTGAATCCAAATATGTGGGTTTTTCCCACACCAACAACCAATTCTCCAAACACCAACTGGTTTCCTACAATTCCATTATATTCTGTCAGACTCCAGAGATAGAAGGGTTCTGTCCCACAACTTCACTTGAGGTGCCACATCTCCAAACGGTTTTTATGGAGGCTTCATCACATAGGCATGATTGATTATTGGCCACCGGTGATTAACTCAATTGTCAGCACCTCCATCTTTTATGACCCCACATATCTGCTACAGACTTCTTTCATAGCACCTAAAATAAAATATACAGAACCAAAACTTGCCTTATTCAACATTGTTGCCAGTACAATGCCTGAGAGAGGCTGAGACTAAACAAAAGCATTCTGAACAAATGAATGAATTTGCTAAACAACTTAATAACATTTACAATAATAAAAGAGCAACAGGAATAGTAGTTTATAATTCTATCTCTGTGACATGTACTTTTCTAAGCACTCAGAAACATGTATTAAAAAACCAGGGAGAGAAATGACTAAAACAAATTACATGCACAGAAAAGTTCACTATAATGTGTTGACAAGTACTTTCAAATACTATTCAAGTTGCCTAAGTTAACAGGAGCAGGCCTAAAATTGTGCTTCTAACAACGATATCAGAAAACATTCTGGAAAACACTAGTACTGTCCACCATAATGTTGACTGGTTTTTTTTCCCTAGGAAAGATTGAGTTTCTTGAATCTAATATGATACAGTTTAACCTGAAGTGTTTTTTTCAGAGCTGAATTTTAAAACTGTGGTACAAAAAACCCCCACAAAACAACAACAACAAACTGTGGCACATTCTGTAGCTCACAACTTGAGTACAACTGGACCCCACGATGCTTCTGGGATATCTGCCTTTGGATTAAAGACAGCTCATTTATGAATTTAGTAGGGTGTGAAAAAACAGGTGCAGGTAGATTTGTTTGTATCTAGTCAGCAAAGACGGAAATGTGACCAGTGTCATATGCACTCAGCAATAAACAGCTTACCAGCTACGAACTCTGTTCCTGCAAGTTCTGCAGTTGCAAGGAAGTCATCAAGGGAGCTCTGTTCAGTCACCGACTGAAGATTAAGACGACCCCAGTCATAGCCATCATTGAGTTCACTTGTGTGCAACTATGAATAAAATGGTAAAAACGCAGTTACTCTCTTCTGCTCTTGACATCCAAACAAACTCTAACCCCCCAAGGAACTAATATTCTGTGGTCTTGGGCATGATATCAGCACCTTTAGCATCAACACTGATAATAGCTAAACATTCAAATGAGCATTTTCTTACCTCATGATAGGCACTTTCCATTCACAATTTCATTTCATTTTCAAAATCTTTTAATGTAGCTTTATTTTCTGTGATGAGGAAATAGGCTTAAATAGATAAAAATAAATTGCCTATCCTGGCCCGTTTGGCTCAGTGGTTGAGTCAAACCTATGAACCCAGGAGGTCCTGGTTTGATTCCTGGTGGGGGCATATGCCCGGGTTGCATTGCAGCTCGATCCCCAGTCGGGGCGTGGAGGAGGCAGCAGATCAATGATTCTCTCTCATCACTGATGTTTCTCTCTCTTTCCCTCTCTGAAATCAATAATCATAATAAAAAAATCTTAAAAATAATCGCCTATATTTGCAACTAATAAGTGATAGAGACAGAATTTGAACACAGACTCTCTGGTCCTGGCAGCCACAGTCAAAATTTTTTGATGGGAGACCTACAGTAAGTTTTACACAGTGACCCAAATGCTGTGATATACACAGTGATACAATTATATGCCATTAGAGTAAAATAGAAACAAGAGAATCCTAAAACAGTTACCTTCCTACATGTAATACACTCTATATTTTGAATTCTTTTTTGTTGGTTTAAAACAAAAACAAAAACACCTCTGGTTGCCACCTACATAACTGATTTCCAGACACAACCCAGAGTTTCATATAAACACCATCCTAGCTACATGCTCAGTACAGGTACAAATAAATGAAAACACTGAAGATGAAAATGTTTGCCCAAAGTCACAGAATCAGTAAAAATCAGAGTAAGGATTACTATCCAGTTCTTTAGAATTTATATTCAATCCTCTCATCACTTCCTAAAGCTACATTAACAACAAGCTGCTTCAAAACCAATGGAAATGACCAGTATCTAATGTCCAGAGTAACTCTGACCTGATGAATACTAATGAGCCATAAAGCTGCTTACTCTGCAAATTATACAGACAGAAATCAGATGGTGTGAGAGTGGCACATGGACAGTTAGCAACAGGGACATCTCTGACTTTAGCACAAATTCTTACTGTGAACTTGGTGGGTCTCAAATACCTGGGGTTATGAATAGTCAAAACAACAAGCACAAGTCAAACGACTTGGTCCATTTTTCAAAGGTCCTCAAACTGTGATGGTTCCTAGGCCTAAGGAACTGTGAGGCCGGCCACATTCTGGAGATGAACTGTTCATCTTTGAGCGGCATTACTAGGAAATTATGATGAAGCAGGAATGAGAGATCTGTTGTATTTCTAGTAGCAACCAGCCACTTTTAGAGGATCCATTCTTTGAACAAATTAATACTTAAAAGACGTAGTGTTTGTGCTTTTCCTGCTCATAACTTCCAAAGTTCCCATGGGTTATTAGGCAAAGACTATTATTCTGACATTAAGACCCTTCAAAAATCTTACTCCAGCCTCATTAGACTACTTTTTTGTGTGCTCTGTCCCTCCTAGGAGGAGGACCTGCGTATCAGCGTGGCAGAAATTCACACTCATCCTTGAAAACCCTACTTAGACGTCACTTCTGGGAAAGTTTCGTGATCTCTGGCCCAAGGACTCAGGGCATTCACACTCGCGTAACCAGACACAGAGGCTGAGGAAGAGGACAAGCCCTGGCTTACCCAGGCGTCGGTGTGACGGTGCCCACGGCTCCGCTGGGTCTGATGCCGGATAAGCGCCCGGCCGAGGGACCCAGAACCTGATGCCTTCCTCCGGCCCATGGCAACACAGCCGCCGAACGAGCTTCCTCCGCCCAGCGCGCACGTTTTCCGGTACTCAAGCACTTGATCCCCGGAAGTGACGTCGGTGAGCCCAAGTAGTCAAGGCCCGCGTTGAACAAAAAAAAAAAGAAATAACTTGCTCAAAACTGCCATCTCCTTTCTCGAGTTAATTGTTATTATAGAACAAAAGTATGAAACTTTTTTGATCACTTAATTTTCTATAGATACCTCTAATAATATCTCGAATTTTGATAGAGTAGTAGAATCAAAGAATGGTACCGTCCAGATTTGTGCGTCGCTCTTCAGCGTCCGCGAGGAACGAGGAGAGCTAGAAAACAGGGCCGCTTGTATTCGTGGTGCTAGCCCCGCCTCCGGCTGTTCCGTCGCGGGAAGGCGGAGACGCGAGGGAAGGGTATTTCCGAGCCCCGCGCGAGGCGGCGTTGCCTCTTGGCTGCTGTTTTCAGCGGGAGCCCGAAGGTGTGGCCTCGCCGCTGTGAGGACGAGCAATTAAATCGCTTTCCCGCCGCCCCCTCCCCCCCATTCGTCTTCCCGAGCTGCGAATTGGGGAGGAAAACACCCTCCCTGGCTGGGAGTTGGGAATGGAAGGATGCATACAGTCATGTTTCCAGAGCTTGGCCAAATTGCAGGGAAAGCCAACAGGCTCTGGCTTAACAGCTTCATTTCAAATGAAGTAGTTCTAGGAGAAGTTTCGACGCCGCGGGAGGTCGACGGCCTTAACATCCCCTCTCCCCCCCGCCTTGCTCAAAGGTCAACTATCATTAAACAAACAAACCACTTTAAAAGTCCCACTTAGAATTGTATTAAAACCCTATAATTAAAGTAAAAACAATGAGGCGGCTCTGCTCTGCGGCCTGGGCTTTTGTTCCTCACTTTACCGTTAATGCCCTGTGTTAGGAAAATAAAAAGTCGGGATAGAATCGCGTGGGCATTTTGCCGGCATTTCATTCACCTCTGAGTGACTGTGCTCAGGGAGGAGCCGCTTGCTCAAGTCAGATGGGAGTCAAGCCCCAGTCTCATCAACTACCTTCCATGTCCCAGGGAAAGGGGGAGAGTGAGGGTTGTTAACGTGTTTTTCAGGACCTAGTGCTTTTCAAACTTTCATGTGCGTCTGAATCCTGGACATCTCGGTAACGTGCAGCTTCTGATTAATAAGGTCTGGGATGGGGCCAGGGACTCTATACTTCCAACCACCTCCCAGGTCGTGCTAACGCTGCTGGTCTGGTCCACGGGCCACAGCAAGGTAAGCCCACTCCCTTCTGCTGCAGATGAAGACGCTGAAGTGGACTGGCTACAGGTCAGTCACAGAAAGTTAGGGGCCTGCAGGACTGGGACCGTAGCATCCGCCCATCTCTGCATTTCCTGTCAAGGCCACTGTGTAGTACTTAGGCTCTGGGAAGGCAGTGCTCAGACCCACGAAGGCATGCACCAGGACATGGTTTCTCCCATTTCTCAACTCAGAAACAGTGTCTCTTAAAAAACAAGCAAATGAACAAGAACGTGAACTTAATCTCCAGAAGTAAAATATGGAAAGGATCCACGGAAGAGAATAAGCAGACAGTTATTGGCATTCTCTTGGAGCACAGCAGTTAAAGATAAAGCTAATTCATAAAGTTTCAATGAGTTTCACATTCTAACAACAATACTAATAGTGAGATGATATAAAGCAACCTACCATCTCATGCCTAGAACTCAGTCAGGAACTTGGGACTTCACCCTCTTCTTTTCTAGATTTTGTCACATTGAGAGATTGAGAAAAAGCAAACATTTTGGGTTTCTATGCTCATTCTTCTCATGGGCTCCAAAAAATTTTGACCAAATACAGTGATAAGTTAATCAAGACCAGTGGGGAGTCAAAAAGACACTGACATTGTAAGATTAAAATAGGAACAGTTGCCTTGCCGGCAGCATGGTTCAGTGGTTGACCATCAACCTTTGAACCTGGAGGTCATGGTTTGATTCTCAGTTTCAGGCTCAAACCCCAGTGTGGGGCATGAAGGAGGCATTTCATTATTGATGTTTCTATCTCTTTCTCCCTCTCTCTTCTTCTCTCTGAAATCAGTAAAAACATATTTTAAAAAGATAGCAACTATTTTTTTTCCCACCCTCACCTGAGATTATTTTTTTCCATTGATTGTAGAGAGTATGGAAGGGAGAGGGAAAAAGAGACACACTCATCAATGTGAGAGAGACACATGAATTGGTTGCCTCCTGCATGCTCCCTGGGGCCCAGGGATAGAGCTAACAACCAAGGTATGTGCCCCTGACTGGAATCGAACCCCAGACCCTTCAGTTTGTGCAGGGGTCCTCAAACTTTTTTTTTTAGTCTTATAAAATTTATTAAGATTTGTTTTAAGGCTCAGCATATGATCTATATTGGTGAGCATAACATGTGTACATGAAAATAATGGATATTCCTGCAGTTGTCATGTACTAGTATAGTGTTCTATAAATGTCAGTTAGGTCAAAGCAATTGGCTGTGTTCAGACCTATATCTTTACTGATGTTTTCTATCAATTTCTTGGAGAAGGATGTTAACTCTATTATGATTGCAGAGTTGTCAGTTTCTTAATTTAATTGTGAATTTTTAAAAATATTTTATTGATTTTTTTACAGAGAGGAAGGGAGAGGGATAAAGAGTTAGAAACATCGATCAGCTGCCTCCTGCACACTCCCCACTGGGTATGTGCCCGCAACCAAGGTACATGCCCTCGACCAGAATCGAACCTAGGACTCTTCAGTCCACAGGACGACGCTCTATCCACTGAGCCAAACTGGTTAGGGCTGAATTTTTATTTTAGGTGTTTTGCTGATCTTTTATTATTGTCTTCTTAACAAATCTATTCTCTAATTATTATGAATTATCCCTCTCCATCTTTGTTAATTTCCTTTGTCCTGTAGTCTATATCATGTGATATAGCCACCTTACCCTTCTTTGATTTTTGCTTATGTAGTTTATATAATGTTTTTTTAAATTGTTTTATTGCTTAAAGTATTACAAAGAGTATTACATATGTCTCCTTTTTTCCCACCCTTAACAATCCCCGGGCCTCCCCTATCCCCCAGTGTCTTATGTCCATTGGTCATGCCTATATGCATGCATACAAGTCCTTCGGTTGATCTCTTACCACCCCCCTCCCGCCCCTCAACCCTCCCCGGCTTTCCCACTGTAGTTTGACAGTCTGTTCGAGGCAGCTCTGCCTCTATATCTATTTTTTGTTCATAAGTTTATAATGGTCTTTATTATCCATGAGTGAGTGAGATCATGTGGTGTTTTCCCTTCATTGACTGGCTTATTTCACTTAGCATAATGCTCTCCAGTTCCATCCATGCCATTGCAAATGGTAAGAGTTCCTTCTTTTTTACAGCAGCATAGTATTCCATTGTGTAGATGTATCACAGTTTTCTAATCCATTCATCTACTGATGGGCACTTAGGCTATATCCAGATCTTAGCTATGGTGAATTGTGCTGCTATGAACATATGGGTGCATATATCCTTTCTGATTGGTGTTTCTGGTTTCTTGGGATATATTCCTAGAAGTGAGATCACAGGGTCAAATGGGAGTTCCATTTTTAGTTTTTTGAGGAAACTCCATACTGTCTTCCATAGTGGCTGCACCAGTCTGCATTCCCACCAGCAGTGCACGAGTGTTCCTTTTTCTCCACATCCTCTCCAGCACTTGTCGTTTGTGGATTTGTTGATGATGGCCATTCTGACAGGTGTGAGATGGTACCTCATTGTTGTTTTGATTTGCATCTCTCAGACGATTAGTGACTTTGAGCAAGTTTTCATATGTCTCTTGGCTTTCTGAATGTCCTCTTTTGAAAGGTGTCTATTTAGGTCCTTTGCCCATTTTTTGATTGGATTGTTTATCTTCCTTTTGTTAAGTTGTATGAGTTCCCTATAAATTTTGGAGATTAGGCCCTTATCAGATATAACATTGGCAAATATGTTTTCCCACACAGTGGGCTTTCTTGCTGTTTTGTTGATGGTTTCTTTTGCTGTGCAGAAGCTTTTTATTTTGATGTAGTCACATTTGTTTATTTTCTCTTTAGTTTCCAATGCCCTAGGAGCTGTATCGGTGAAGAAATTGCTTCGGCATATGTCTGAGATTTTGTTGCCTTTGGATTCTTCTAGAATTTTTATGGTTTCCCGTCGTACATTTAAGTCCTTTATCCATTTTGAGTTTATTTTTGTGTATGGTGTAAGTTGGTGGTCTAGTTTCATTTTTTTGCATGTATCTGTCCAATTTTCCCAACACCATTTATTGAAGAGACTATCTTGGCTCCATTGTATGTTCTTGCCTCCTTTGTCAAATATTAATTGAGCATATTGGTTCGGGCCGATTTCTGGGCTCTCTATTCTATTCCATTGACCTATATGTCTGTTCTTGTGCCAGTACCAGGCAGTTTTGAGAACAGTGGCTTTGTAATACAGCTTGATATCTGGTATTGAGATCCCACCTACTTTGTTCTTTCTCAGGATCGCTGCAGCTATTCGGGGTCTTTTTTTTATTCCAGATGAATTTTTGGAGAGTTCGTTCTAGATCTGTGAAATATGCCGTTGGTATTTTAATGGGAAGTGCGTTGAATTTATAGATTGCTTTGGGTAGTATGGACATTTTAATGATGTTGCTTCTACCAATCCAAGAACATGGTATGTTCTTCCATCTGTTTATGTCTTCCTCTATCTCTTTTTTCAACGTTCTGTAGTTTTCTGAGTAGAGGTCTTTTACCTCCTTAGTTAAGTTTATTCCTAGGTAGCTTAATTTTTTTGATGCGATGGTAAATGGGATTGTTTTTTTAGTCTCTCTTTCTGTAAGTTCACTATTGCTGTATAGAAATGCCATAGATTTCTTTTTTTTTTTTTAAATATATTTTATTGATTTTTCACAGAGAGGAAGGGAGAGAGATAGATAGTCAGAAACATCGATGGGAGAGAAACATCGATCAGCTGCCTCCTGCACATCTCCCACTGGGGATGTGCCCGCAACCCAGGTACATGCCCTTGACCGGAATCGAACCTGGGACCCTTCAGTCCGCAG